TTTCCCTTCCCTCTTCCTCTTTCTCTTCTCCATTTTACCGATGAGGAAGACCGAGACCCAGAAAATGGAGAAAAATGTGCCACTGCGCAGGGAGGCGAGGCAAGGGACCAAAAATCAGACACATTTTTCTTTCCTCTTTAAGGGTCTCCCCTCCTCCACCTTAGATCTCCAGAGCTTTTCCACTGTTGTTTTTCAGGTTATAAAAGTGCATACCCACAGAAAAGTAGATGGAAGGAAGCAGGCTACCTTCCCATGACTACCACCGTATGCAGTTTGGTACGCATGATTTCAGGTTTTATTTTGTGAATATTTTCATTCTACATAGCAAGGATCACATACACATATATTTCTGTATCTTCCTTTTCTCATTTAACATCACATAGCATAAACATCCTTGCATAACACTAACAATTCTGCATAATTATTATCCTTCGCAGCTTCGTACTACCTTTGTCTCAAGCTAGCCTATTGTTTACTTAAACACTCCACTGATTCTGGACATATTCAGTGTTTCCACTGTTTTGCTATGATAAATAATGTTGTGATAAATTCAAACCTTGCTCCACATTTTGGATTTTTTTTTTTTTTTTAGTAGTATCTTCCTAGAACTAGAATTGCTGGGTCAAAGGTGGAGAACAAGGGTCCTGATTCACATTGCCCAATCAGCTTCCATAAAAAGCGTATGAATGTACAGTTTCAGTGGCCGAGAGTGCCGGTCTCACTACCTCTTTACCAGCACTGAGGTTTTTGTGTTTCTTGTTTTGGTTTTAAGTCCTTTTGCTGATTTGATTGACTTACACACATGGCATATTGTGGAAGTCTTGATATGTCTTTGAGGAAAAGTAAAGTCAAGTATGGCTGTAGATCATCGACATCCTTATTTCTATGAATTTCATGTTCAGGGTGTAGGGATGGAGAGATGGCAGTACGGAGAGGTTATCAATATGTGCTCATGATGGTGTTTATCCAATCGACGTACTTGCAGACTTGGGTATAGACACCTGGGTTGTTGGGTTGGCCGCAAGGGAAAACTCCCCAGGACACCAGGCCTTGCAAAGTACCTTTGCACATCAGTGGTCCCCCTGAGTCACCCTGGAGGGGACAAAGCAAATGAGCTTCAGCTTCAGAGTGAAGTCCCGCCCCCACTTCTGTCTCCTACACCCCCACGGTTGTCAGTCTTTGTCTTGCCAGACCCTGCCCTTCCACCCTGGCCAATGGGGAGAGACTCATAGTCTCTGGGGACCAATAGTAGAGCAGGAATTAGGGCCGTCGTGGAGAAGACAAACCACGTTCTCTGAAGGCGTTGGCTTGAGCCCCAGCCAATGGGACCAATCACAGGGAAGCGGCAGGGCTTCCAGGGGGTCAGAGCCCCATTTCTTCCCCATCTTTGGGGACTCAGCGCCAAGCCCATGGAAGGAGCAGTGTCTCCAGGGAATGGATACATGGGCATGAAAGAGGGACAGGGTGGTCTTGGAAATCAGGGGCCTAACCGATGCCACAATTCATAAGGCCCCGTGCAAAATGAAAGTGTGGGCTCCCTCGCTCAGAAAGTATTAAGAATTTCAAGACAGCAACAGGAGTGCTTTAAACCGAGGGTGGGACTCTCCTGAGTGTGGGACCGCGTGTCGCTGTACAGCTTGCACATTCGTGAAGCCGGCCCTCACTAGGGGAAGAGAAGCATGCGCCATTCTCTAGGACACACATTCCTGTCCCATCACCCCATCCCTAGCACTTACCCTCCCACCGCCCCTGACAACTGAGGGTGCAGGTGAGAGCAAAAGGAGTGGAGGTAAAGGGAGATGTGGGAAGATAATGTTCAGAGACAGGGAGGGGGTTACAAAGAGGAGGGCAGAGACAGTTCTTTGACCAGGACCAGGACCCAAGTGAGGTGAGTGAGACATTAACTTCGGGCACACAGTCTCAGTAATTGCAGTAAGTAGTATTTTATTGCAATACCTTAATATTGAATTTAATATGAAAAAGTCCATGATGAACGCAGTGTCCCAATTTTAGATAAAGGGTCACTACAGGGCTGTGCTGAGACTTATTGAAGCCTGAGGTAAGTGGGAAATTCAGTAAGACTGATGGCTCTTTATTGAAAATTCTGACATTTTGTTCATCGTGGACTTTTGCATAGATTTAAAAAAAATATATTGCATTAGAATGTGATTTATCTTGATTACTGAGTTTTCTGGGCACCCCCTCCCCTTTGAAGTTTGGGTTTGAAGCCAAGGCTTCACTCGCCTTCCCCTAATCCTGGCCGCATGTTGCCCATCCCCAGCCCCTCCCATTCATCTTTCTGCCTCATCCTCAGGGCCATACCAGCCCCCACTGGGCTGCCACTACTGACCTGAGCAGAGAATGGGATAGAGAAAGCTAGGAAAGCTGGGCCTAGGGTGGGGCGGGGGGTGATGAGGGAATGCTCAGCGCCAAGGTCAGGTGCAAAGGTTTTGGATAGAGGGGGAAGATGGGGCTCTGTGCTGAGGGGAAGCAGCCAGGGACCCAGGGCAGGGGAGGAAGGAGGACTCACGTTGCAGGCATTGGTGCCGGAGTTGGGGATGCCAGCACACAGCATGGAATCTCCCAGCAAGTTCATGTAAACCTTCCTGCAGTCTCCAGAGGAGATGATGTCGACCTTTGTGCACATGAGTTTCTCTGGAAAGGTCGCTGCAAGATGGGGGGGGGGGG